CTCTATACTACTGTGGAGTGATCTCCAGACATGCTGCTAAGTCATAAGTAAATAATCAAGAGTGTATCTATCTAAGAATGGAAGGATAAACCATCAAATTAAAAAAAAAAAGGAATTGACCTGTAAGGTAAATTAACCTGTAAAGGGGAGGGAGAGAAGGTGGTGAAGGCTCAAGAATGGAAGTGAGACTTCTAATACACCTTGTTTTTAATTATGACCTTGGACCACTTAGCTAATTCACATGTTTACAAAACACAATTAAGTTTCAACAAAGCAATCCCTAAACATTCAATATAAAATGAAATTAACCAACAAGGTATACAGTGAGTGGCATAACCATATGGAGAATAACTATCCTAAACAATCTGAAGCAGACTACTTTGATTATTACAGTCCTTTGGGGATAAAACCCTAAGGATACAAGTTTAAGCTATTTTTTGGTTATCATATTGTTGATAGCAGTATTAGTATTTCTATTCTGAGAATGCTGTGCAATAATAAAGGATAAAACACACAAGCAATTATGTGATATTCTAATTATATTATCTGCTGTATCCTCAGAACTATTCTCAGCATGGAAGAAAGAAGATACAGATGTACTTCTGTCTTCTGTAAAGGCTTTAAGCAATAACTAACTCAGAGAAGGGAACGTTCCTAGTGTCCTGAACACAGTAACAAAAGCACATTTCTACTAAGTAGAATCAGTGTTTCTTGAGGAAATAGATAATTCTAGGTTTGGATCTATGAAGTGATGGGACTAGATGCCATGATCTTAGTTTTTTTTTTTTGAATGTTGAGTTTCAAGCAAGCTTTTTCTCTCTCCTCTTTTCACCCCCATCAAGAGGCTCTTTAGTTCCTCTTCACTTTCTGCCACTAGAGTGGTATCATTTGCATATCTGAGGTTGTTGATCTTCCTCCCAGAAATCTTGATGCTACCTTTTTATTCATCCAGCCTGGCATTTCGCATGTTGAACTCTGCATAGATGCTAAATAAGCAAGATGACAATATACAGCCTTGTCATCCTCTTCTCCCAACTTGGAACCAGTCCGTTGTTCCGTGTTCAATTCTAATTGTTGCTTCTTGACCTGCATACAGGTTTCTCAGGAGACAGGTAAGGTGTTCTGATATTCCCATCTCTTAGTCAATGAAATAGAAGTAGATGCTTCTCTAGAATTTTCTTGCTTTTTCCATGATCCAACAAATGTTGGCAATTTGATCTCTGATTCTTCTGCCTGTTCAAAACCCACCTTGTATATCTGGGAGTTCTCAGTTCACATGCTGCTGAAGCCAAGCTAGAAGGATTTTGAACATTACTTTGCTAGCATGTGAAATGAGTGCAATTGTGTGATAGTTAGAACATTCTTTGGCATTGACCTTCTTTGGGATTGGAATGAAAACTGCCTTTTTCCAGGACTGTGTCCACTTGTGACACATTTGTTAACATATTGAGTACAGCACTTTAACAGCATCATCTTTTAAAATTTTAAATAGCTCAGCTGGAATTCTGTCACCTCCACTAATTTTGTCCATAGTAATGCTTCCTGAGGCCCACCTGACTCTAGGATGTCTGGCTCTAGGTAAGTGATGGCATCATCATGGTTATCGAGGTCATTAAGACCTTTCTTATGTAGGTCCTCTGTGTATTCTTCTCTTCTGCTAGGCCCTTACCATTTCTGTTCTTTATCATGCCCATCCTTGCATGAAATGTTCCCTTTATATCTCCAATTTTCTTGAAGAGATCTCTAGTCTTATCCATTCTACTGTTGTCCTCTATTTCTTTGCATTGTTCATTTAAGAAGGCCTTCTTATTTCTCCTTGCTATTCTCTGGAACTCTGCATTCAGTTGGGTAGATCTTTCCCTTTTTCCTGTGCCTTTTGCTTGTCTTCTTTCCTCAGCTATTTGTTAAGCCTGCTCAGACAACCACATTAAAAACAAAACAAAACTAAGATCATGGCATCCAGTCCCACCACTTCATGGCAAAATAGATGGGGAAAAAGTGGAAGCAATAACAGATTTTCTTTTTTTGGTTCCAAAATCACTCTGGACAGCGACTGCAGCCATGATATTAAAAGGCACTTGCTCCTTGGAAGGAAAGCCAGGACAAGCCCTACATAGCATATTAAAAAGCAGAGATAACACTTTGCCAACAAAGATCCATATAGTCGAAGCTATGGTTTTTCCAGCAGTCATGTACAGATGTGAGAATTGGACCATAAAGAAGGCCTAGCACTGAAGAGTCGGTGCTTTCGAACTATGGTGCTAGAGAAGATTCCTCAGTCCCTTGGACAACAAGGAGATCAAACCAGTCAGTCTTAAAAGAGATCAACCCTGGATATTCACTGGAAGGACTGATGCTGAAGCTTCAATACTTTGACCACCTGATGTGAAGAGCTGACTCACTGGAAAAGACCCTGACATGCCAGTAAAGATTGAAGATGAAAGAAGAAGGGGCGGGAGAGGAGGAGATGGTTAGATGGCATCACCGACTCAGTGCACATGAATTTGAGCTAACAGCGGAGGACAGAGGAGCCTGGTGTGCTACAGTCCATGAGGTCACAAAGAGCTGCACACAATTCTGTGACTGAACAACAAGAACGACAACATGTCTCGAGCAAAAAATATGCTGAAACACATGAGAAATTATCTCTAGGGTCATGTCACACATGTATAAACGTGAGTTAAGATACTATTTTTACAAAGAAAATTAAAACGACACTAGTTGGTCATTAATGAGAGGCACTAGGGAATCTAAGAAGAAAAAAAGAAAACTGGTAAATGAAAGTTAGAAGTAACCCTTGAGAAAGTTAAGTTTTTCTTAAGATAGATATTCAGATTAATAAATGAAAAAAGAAATTAGGACATGATTTTATAACCATTAATAAATGGAGATAAGTACTGATCAGCAGCTGCTGCTAATTTCACAAACGAGAAAGACAGAGATTTTGTATCTCTTGCTACATGATCACAAGAAGTAATCTTGACCAAAAAAAAAAGAGCATGAATCTTGATAAATCTAGAGTCAACCAATCTACAAGAAAGAGAAGGACATGGGGACAGAATTAGAAACTTAGTAAGCAGGTTTCTTCAACAAACAAATTCTGAGAGGAGGAGGATGGGAGGAAAGAAGTAAAAAAGGATAGGGGAAAAGATCTTAATGAAGAGAGAGAGGGAGGCAGAGACAGAGATACCCTGACAGGAGGAGGAAGGGAGGGAGGGAGGGAGTAAAAGCTTCTTGAAAGGCACTTTCAACCAACGCAGCCAACTGCAATGCATGAACCTAATTTGGATTCTGATTCAAACACACTGCAAAAAAAAAAAAAAAAAAAATTATGAAATTTGCAATACAATATGAAATTTAATATTTAGATATTTGAAATTAAGAATTGCTAGCATTTTAAATAGGTAAAATAATAGCAATATGAATTAAAAAGTAACCTTTTACCTTATAGGGAACTGCTTGGCGGTGTGCACAGGACAGAATTAGTCATGGGCTAGTGAACATTGGGGCTTGGTGGGGGGTTCATTATATTATGCCTATAGCTTTTATGTATGTGAAATCTTACAAAATAAGTAAGTGTATTTTTAAAAAATATAAGACATTCGGTATCAATGAGAACGCTCAGTACACAGAGGTTCATTTCTAAATACAATATGCCTCTGAAAAAACAAGGGTTCCTTGAAAAAATAGATTCTTCCTAATCTGAGGGGAGAAAAGTACAAGGTGAGCCTAGAACATCTTGTACCAGAAAGCAGAGGAGTAAAACGGGGAGTACATGTTAAAATGGCAAAGGAACCAGCTTGAAGGGCTGCCTCTGGTCAAACTTGGGTAAATTTAAATGTCAAAGAAAAACAGTAATGATTTATTAAACACTGAATGAAAAAAGGAAGCTTCTGCACAGTGACATTCAAAAACAAAAAGAGAAAAGGGAGGAAAAGCAACTATCACAGAAGACTGTCAGCCAGTCAATACAGAGGGAATAATACAATGAGAAAAATTACTGTTTCTCTAACACTAGTCTATTTTTTAGGTAAGGATTACAAACGCATGGTAAAACCACTGGATGATAGGTTATTACTGGCACATAGGTTATTCATTTGCTTTCAAGGATCACAAATTAGCATTAGTTACCAACAGGAAAAGGTATTTTTACAATGAGGACAGAAGGTGATACTTCCATTCCCAATAAGAGGGCTATCTGGCATCACACACCTCTTCTGATGATACAATAGGAGGCATAAACAATCTAGGCATCTAGGTTTGCCAAAACTTGAATTCGGTCATCAAAAACAGACAAAATCAGAAATTCAATTTGGACTCTAAAATATACAGAAAAACCAGAGGATCTAATCTAAATTTAAGAAACCAAGAAGATATGACATCAAACACAACCCATAACCCTTGTTTAAATCCCAGGTAGAGGGAGAAGTGGTTAGGACAATATTGTGACAACTGGGAGATTTTTAATACGGTCATATATTAAAATATAATTGTTTTAATGATCAAGTTCTTAAGCATTACAACTGCTTTGTTTAGTATGGCCTTGTTAGGCTTAAAAAAAAAAAGTAAGTGTATATGGCATGACCTATACATAGGTAGATACAGAAAGTAGTGAAAAGTAAAAGTGGTAGTTGCTTAGTTGTGTATGACTCTTTGCAACCCCTATAGCCCGCCAGGCTCCTCTGTCCATGGGGATTCTCCAGGCAAGAATACTGGAGTGGGTTGCCATGGCCTCCTCCAGAGGATCTTCCAAGCCCAGGGATTGAACCAAGGTCTCCCGCATTGCAGGTAGATTCTTTACCATCTGAGCTACCCGGGAAGCCCAAGAAAGAGTAAAAGTTCTACAATGTTATAATAACTGGTAAATGGGATCTACAGGGAGGCTGTAGGGGTATATTCTATACTATTCTTTCAACTTTTCTAGGGACTTAAATTTTTCAAAATAAACAGCTGATGAAAAATGTAATCTGATAGTGACATCTGAATAGTGTACTACATACCAGTAACATGGCATCGTCACTCTTGCTCCTCTGGATCTTCTCTCTGGAGCTCTCTTTCTGACTGACAGCTTGTTCTGCAAATGATACCTCCAGGTTGATGTCTGTTTCAGAGGCAGGTGCCTCTTCGGGCACCAGTGGGGTTAGGTCCTTTCCACCAACACCTAAGTGAGATGCCTGGTCTGGGAACAAAATAAAAGACTTCATTCCTGTGTTTTTGTTACTTCTTTAAAAAAAAAAAAAAGAAACTTCTAACACATCAACTGTATAAACCTTTAGGAAAAGTACTACTTATTGTAAGCAATAATTAACCCTTCTTTCCATAGTAAAACCTATACTCAAGGAATCCTAACAATGGCACATGGGGGACGGAGGAGGCAAGGTGGGGACCAGAAAGCCGGAGTGGAATCGTGGAATCTCTCACAGTTCTTAGATTGAGTCCAATTCGAAAACATTCCTGGATGATCTCAAGCTCTGAATGAAAAACTCGTAACAACTTACTAAACTTAATTGTTGTTTTATATTACACTGGGAGATAAAAATTTAGTAAACTTAATCATTGTTTTACTTTATACTCAGAAACGAGAAGAGAAGGTGGTTAGTTTTACTCTCTTAAAACCCTGGTGGCGCAGACGGTAAAGAATCCACCTGACAATGCAGGAGACCTGGGTTTGATCCCTGAGTAGGGAAGATCCCCTGGAGGAGGGGATGGCAACCCCCTCCAGTATTCTTGCCTGGAGAATCCCATGGACAGAGGAGCCTGGCAGGGTAGCATCCACAGGGTCACACAGAGTTGGACATGACTGAACAAAGGTTTTTAAAACTATGATATACCATTTAATTTCCTCACAGTGAAACAGATTCCTGAATAAGATTTCTTTCACTCCCTGCATGTCCTTTCTGGAATGCTATCTATCTATCATAGCAAAAATTCCAGGCACCAAGAATATTCACGGTGGGAGTCAGTTCTGGAGGTACCTGGTTCAGGAATCAGATTATTATAGGGATTATAACAGTTCTTACAACTATAAATCTAGTCAAATGAGTTCCAGGTATTTACATCAACACTTTAAAAAAGATTTAACATTTTTTGCTGTTGTTGCTTTATTTGCTGTTAATCCTCCGGGCGGTGGGGGGGGAATTAACACTTGAAAACGTCTTTGCTGAAAACATCAGGTTTAAGCTCGGAAGAAAATACTTCTAAATTTGGCTATTTGATAAGTTTTTGGTTTTTAACACAACTCACACTAGAAAAACACCAGGCATCAATGACAGGATTACTGTCATTTTCTCACTGTGACCTTTAATTCATGGTGAGCGGCTCCAGATTACATCAGTAAGCTAATGCGCAACATTCAAATGCTTATATACTAACACAACAAGGTGATAGAAGGTAAGTTAATTTTTAAATTTAATAAATGTTATATATACACAGTTACTATTAAAAGTCTGATGCCTTCAGAAAACATATTTTATTACCCTCTATATATTTTCTATATTTATAGTCATTTAAATAAAAAACAAACAGAAAAATTATTTTACTCAAAAGAAGATAAGAATAAATCTAAATCTAGCCTTTTTCACTCCCACTTAATAAGCAGGGCGGGCTGCATGCGTGTAGGACTTTCCAAGTGCTTGGTATGGGCCCCATGGGTTTAATGTTCTGCTGTTGCCTTCTTGAAATTTGAACAAGAAGCTCTACATTTTCAGTTTGCACTGAGCCTTGCAAATTATATAGTTGGCCTGAGTCACATCTCAGAGTTAAGAAAGTAAGAAAGAACTGACCTATGTCAAGTCCAAAAATAAGAGTAAATCTGGAGCTCTGATTGTATTTATCTGTTCCTAACTATGCTACATTATGCTTTTTCAACAGCCTGTGACAATTTTGTTTAAAACTAAGGATAACTAGACCTCTCTCTGATTAATTTTTAAAGTATTAACTTAAATGTCCAAGCACAATTTGAGTTTTATTTTCCCACTGGTTTACACTACTTTATGTTTTACTGTGAATATGTATGTTGGTTTCCTAGGAAACCATTCTGAGAGGAAAAAACTGATTAGCCATTTTCTTAAATTAGAAGCTACCTTTCCAAAACCTGAGTTTTTATGAACAAGCATGTTAAATGGACTCCCTGTTCTTAACAGACCCACATCAGAGCTACAATAAACACTACCTCCCCCACCACACACAAATAAATGTTCTGTGCTGAATTCAAAACTGAGGAGAAAAATTATAATTAAGTTAGAATACGTTTAAAACATATGAATTTCCTCCAAATATTAGCAAAAACAAAAGGCACAATATAGAGAAGGATTAAGGATTAAATGATAACTCCAGTTAAGGCAGAGAGCAGGAAAAAGTGTTTCAGGCTGATTATAAGAAATGGATGGTTAATTCGCTAATAAAAGTATTTATGAATTAATCATTTACTCTCCCTGCTGGCTCAGGGTAAAGCATCTGCCTGCAATGTGGGAGACCTGGGATCAATCCCTGGGTCGGGAAGATCCCTTGGAGAAGGAAATGGCAACCTACTCCAGTACTCTTGCCTGGAGAATCCCATGGACGGAGGAGCCTGGTGGACTACAGTCCACGGGGTTGCAAAGAGTCAGATACAACTGAGCGACTCCACTTTCACTTTCTCAAGGAGAAACGTTAATAGAGAACGCTGAGATAAACCTTTTGGCTCTTCAAGCCCTGAAGTGTAAATAATACAGTTTTAATCTATTTTCTCCTTTGGTTTTTAAAGTGGACAATAGAACCAAGTTACAACTATTTTAAAAAACTCAAAGTTTTTCAACTGTCCAAAATAATCCATATCTTTATTTAAAAAAATAATTTTGCTTCCTCCACGGAACTCAAAAAAGAAAATATATATTACATGAAAGTTTTAAAAATTATTTGGGCATTATTAACACTTCTAAATGTATGTATTAAACATTGGTCTTTCAAATACATAATGTTGTACAATTTGGTGAGAAGACTGATACACAGCAGCAGATAAATGAATTTGAAATGCAACAACCCTGGCAATGTTAAAATGTTATAATTTTCATTTAGAATAAGTAACTTTCATAGAACATGCATAAAAGCCCAAGTGTAGAGAAAACATTTAAAATAGAGTATGTAGTTCTGGTTTTCATATATCTAGTGGAAAGAGCTCCACTTTTGAACTTCAGACAATATTTTCCATGCATTTCATTCAGAACCTTTCAACGTTTGCATAACGCTGGGGAATGCACTGGCTAGCAAAAGAGCTCGGCATTGCCCAGAACAGGTGCAGCAGTAAATCCTCAGTGACTCGGATGGCGTCATACACATTATCTTATTATTCTCACTGGAGGCTCTCTGCCCACATCATAGGATTCCAGCAAAAGCAGATGTAAATCAGGCAGCAAGCTTGTCACATTCCAGCCGGCTGCCGCAAGCTAGGCTGGAAAAAGCCGCTACAATGAGCCCGTCTTCCAGAATATCTGTTTACATAGGCTCTATCGCATCTCTGGCAAAGGAGGAAAACACCAAGAAAGGACAATGTTTCCTCAGTATTCAGTCAGCAACTGCCAGTGGCTCTTCCCCAAAGCCCAAAACATGTTGACACTGGCACAAGAGGTTCATCTGTCTCTCTTGACAACCCAGCTCTCTGCCCAGCCAGCAAGGGCTATTCCAGCCTGCCTGCCATTCCAGGGTCAGCAGGCACACAGGCCTGGGGAAACACCCAGTCGTTTTAATCTGATATACGTATGTAACTGAAGAAATTTCCACAGAATAATAAAAAGCAGGGGCTTTTATGAATACAAATATAAATATATAGACTCATGTGTCTATATATGCACATATGTGTCTACATATGCACATATACATATACACACACACATATTATGTGTGTGTATCTATTTGAAGGCAGGGGTACGGCAGAGAAGTTCTGAGATAAAAGCATGGAAGGAAAGAAAGATATTAGATGCTCCAAGACTCCAAAATGTCCCAAAGTGACAAATTTTCTTTTCTTGGCCTCCGAAGTCGCTGCAAATGGTGACTCTGTAGCCAAGAAATTACAAGACGCTTGCTCTTTGGAAGGAGAGCTATGACAAACCTAGACAGTGTATTAAAAAGCAGAGACATCACTTTGCTAACAAAGGTCCATCTAGTCAAAGCTATGGTTTTTCTGGTAGTCATGTATGGATGTGAGAGCTGGATCATGAGGCAGGCTGAGTGCCGAAGAATTGATGCTTTCGAACTGTGGTGCTGGAGAAGACTCTTGAGAGTCCCTTGGACTGCAAGGAGATCCAACCAGTCCACCCTAAAGAAAATCAACCCTGAATATTCTTTGGAAGGACTGATGCTGAAGCTCCAATACTTTGGCCACCTGATGTAAAGGGCCAACTTGTTGGAAAAGACCCTGATGCTGGGAAAGATTGAAGGCAGGAGGAGAAGGAGGCAACAGAGGACAACCATGGGCAAAAATCTGAGCTAACTCTGGGAGATAATGAAGGAAAGAGGAGCCTGGGGTGCTGCAGTCTATCGGGTCACAAAGAGTTGGACATGACTTAGCAAATGAACAACAACAGTAATTTTAGATAAACCTTTGATTTTTATAGGAAGGTTGGGAACACTTCCTAGGCCTCCGCAGTCTTCCTGACACTCTTCCTTCACTACTTCCAATCCAAACATGATACTAATAATGCCATGAACACCCCAGGTGCTGGGTATTAAGAACATAAACAAAAGCAAAGTCCCAATCGGGACTCAGGCAGCCATTAACCATCTTTGTTATATTATTTAAGTAGCAACACATTAAGGATTAATCTATGACCTTAATTTAGAACACTTTTCCTTTTTGTAAATCCATTAAATAGCTTTAAATTCTTTCTTATTAAGTACTAATAAATCCTTACTATTTATTTTCAACCATGCCTTGAATTTCTAATCCATTTCTGAAATAACAGATACAGAAAAAGGAACGAAATGGAGAATTATAATCAACTTCCGCCCTCTCCCACCCTCAGATCTTAATTTAAAATCTTTCTAAACTTTTTAAAAAGCAATCCATTTATGAGCTAAGAACTTAAGATTTGAAAACGAAGTTCCAAATTCACTGGCTCCCCTTACTAGCTGTATTGCCTTGGGGAAGTGACTTTATATCTCAAAACCTTACTTCTCTCATCTGTCTAATGGGTTAAGAATAATATTTACTACAGAGCATTCTTGAGGATATTAAATTAGGCAAATGTCTCTGCATAGCACCTGGCACATGGTAAACATTCAAGAAAACTGACTATGTATAGAAATGTTAAAATAGATATAGACAAGTATTTTTAAAAACTCAAAAGCCAACTATAAGCTCAGTCTTATGTAATTATCTACTTGGGTACTTGATATTTCAATTGAATTTGCTTACTAGAGTTGAAGACGAGTGTTTCTAACGGTCCTATCTATTTGTTATACTAATAAATGAGAAAATACAAGAGAACGGGTCCAACTTACCATCTTTTCTTCGGTATTTGTTTTCATCTGTTCCGACTGATTGTGATTCTGTGCCATCTGGAGCCTAAAGATAGAAAATGGGCCATTTATTCATTTCCCACTCACAACCAGAGAAATGGTATGGTAAATAACTCTATTACTAACCTGTAGAGCACAAGATATGTATTCAGACTTATACCACAGAAATAAAAAGGACTACGGTTACAATTAACAAGCAACCAGCCAACAAATACATGATCACCCACAATATACAAGACATAGTACTAGGCTCTGTGGAAATACAGGCAATATCAAGTGTCCCCACCATCAGGAATACCATTAAGACATCTCAAAAAGTTAATATCCATTAACAAATGAGTAGATAAATAAAATGTGAGCCACCCACACAATGGAATGTCATTTGACAATAAAAAGAAAGTAAAGAAAGCACGGATGCATGGGACAACGTGGATGAGCCGTGAAAACGTGACGTGACGTGAAAGTCACAAGGACCACATTCTGTGTGGTTCCACTTCTACAAAACCTTCAGAACAGGCAAGCCACAGAGACAAAGATTAGTGGTTGCCTAGGCGTAAGGAGGGGAAAACAAGGAATGACTGCTACGGGGATGGGGTTTCTTTTGGAGATGATGAACATGTGCCAAAATGACTGTGGTGATGGTTGCATATATATGACCACACTAAAAACCTCTGCATTGTAAACTTTAAATGGGTGAACTGGAGGTATGTGAATTCCCTCTCAATGACATGGCTATAAAATAAAATTATAAACTGACATATAGGTAAAAAATAGAATACTTCACTTTTTAAAAAATAAAAGCTAGTAATAAATGTGAGAGAAATTAAAACTAATTTGCCAAGCAGGTAATAAGAGCTTAGATAGTCAAAAGAACTCCTCTTTCGAGGGCTTGGGGCAGTGACATCCAAAGAAATGAAGCCTTCCAAGGGTTTATGGACACAGTAAGATGCAGCTGCCGCCTCTCCAGTATGGCCAGGCAGCACTTCCTCCTCTCCAGTAAGGCTCTAGGAGGAAGCAGGAAGGGGAGCCCAGGTCAATCATACACAGAGGTCTATCGGAACGAATTGTTTTTAAAATACTCATTCTAGCGGATAGTCACTTCAATACAAAAGAAGGGCGCCTCTGTAGTCCCCTCCCCACACACTGCAGCTCAAGTGTTAGCAGAGAAGGACTCCCCTCTCCACCTGCAATCTAAGAAGGGCCGGAAGAGCATCAGGGCAGGCATGTGCAGGCGCTCTCCTCAGACTATGCAGGACAGTACCAGTGACTAGTCACAGAGGGACACGGCTTCAATCCCCCCCAAGCAGAGCAAGGCCACCTTCCTCCCTCACCCGCGAGCCTGCAGAAGGCTGGCCCTCCACGGCACAGTAAGTCTAATCTCACATATGAACACGGATTTCAGAGCATGTGGTTGAAATTGTTTTCCTGAGCAATTGAAGATGACAGTGCAGATGGTATTCATTTCTGCATTTTACTTCCTAGTGTCAGCAAGGGCTTCGTGAGGAAGCATTTAACATGGAAGAGCTGAATATGGACAGTCATCGCTCAGTATCTGTGGGAGATCGGTTAAAGGACACCGCCACCCCATGAATGCCAACACTGGAGGATGCTCCAGTCCCTGCTAAAGAATGGCAGAGCACAGTCAGCCCTCCCTATCCGCAGGTGCAGAAGCCAGGGATGTGGAGGACATACTGCATTTACTTGAGGACAGAAGAAATGCAAGTAAAGATGGCTGGCCCATGTTTACTTGAGGGTTGGAGGACATATTTCTAACGGGTGGTCATATTTCAATTAAAGGCAGAAAGAGTAAGTTAACAGTATTTTAATTCACTTGTGCTGTTTCTTGCTTATTGGCTCCATCAGCTGATACAATCCACCAATTACCTTGAATTCAAACTATGTGATTCAGACATTAGCGAGGATTTACTAAAAAATGTTGCTTCTAGCACTGAGAAGCAACATCCTCTTCAAGACTAGCAGGAATCCCACAGAGTATGGTTTGCTGAGGCTCAGTTCTCTGTCCCCTCCCGCTTTTGGCTTCCTCTTAACTCCCTCAGGGAGGGCTCTTTAATTGGGAAGGAAATGCCAATAACACTAGATTTCCTTATTATTCATTTTTTTACTGCTGTAAAAAAGCAGTCTAGTCCTTCAACCCCAGTGGATGTTCCAAATAACGAATGGGTGGCACGCAAGTGTCTAACTGCCTCACAGCAGCAACAGATCTATCTGGAGCAATCCTGTGACCCCAAAACTCCCATAAAATGGACTGGATTTGATCTACAATTGACCATGCAAACACAGTAGCAATCTGCAACTATGCAGGATTTCTCAGAAGAATTAAATGTTTACAAAAAGCCAAAAAACCCTCTATATGACAGAAAGATACCTTAAATGTGTCTTCTTATTCCCAAATTTTTAAAAAAGACTTTTGTTATTCTTCTTTATAGTGTAAATACAATCTCATGTATTCACTGGGACTACCTAATATCAGAATTACATATGTAAACCCAAATGTAGTAGGATGTATAGTGGTTAAAAGCACATATTTAGAGTCTGACAAACTTGGGTTTACTATCTATGGGACCATTGAGCAAGTTACTTGAAGTCTATGAGCCTCAGCAATAGTATAGAAGTGAAACCTCACTCATAGGACAGCTCTAAGGATGAAAAGAAATAAGCCATGGAAAGCAGTCAGCATGGAAAGCAGTAAGTGTTCAGTGGTGGTAGCTACTGCTCTAACGATTGCTATGATCATCACTACAATCCTCACTTAAGATCCCTTCTGATTGTTCTTACTCCATCCACTCCACTGGGTCTTCTGGACCAGAGCTATACTAACTGTCATCTGAGAAGAGTTCAACGTGTAAACCAACTTTGACCCTAAAAACACCATTAAGTTCAGCTGACCTTTTCTTCTCTTTGTAGCATGACTGTTTCTTGCCGGAGCAGATATTAATTTTCATTTTGGGAAGCTCTTTAGGTCCTCATGGGCACTCCATAATCAACCTACCAAATGGCTATCCTGAGTAACACTGTTCTAGGCCATTCAGGTCTCCGACTGGTACCACGCTTTCTCAGAGCCATCAGCCCCAGATCTGCACCAGACTCCAACAGCTTCCACTAATAAATTCATCATCATGGCAAATATCTATTCCAATCATCTACATGCTAGGCACTAGACACAAAGGGGAAGTTACTTCATGTTCAGGGTTCCTGTTTTATAATTCAGCTGCAATTAGCTTCCTTGCATTCCACTTCCATTCATCCCCATGTGAGTCTTTAAAAAAAGCAAATTTTCCTACAAGAATAATGTGGAAAAAAGAACCTCCTGCCTCTGACTTTTCTCTAAGTAACAACTAGCAGTCACACTGTCCAGGGGGTTGGGGCACTCCCAAAGCTCCAAGGACACTGAATGCAGGGACTGACACAGAGAATTTTAACTTGTTTCATTTTCTGCCCTATCAGCAGGTAACTCGGAGAAGGCAACGGCAACCCACTCCAGTACTCTTGCCTGGAAAATCCCAAGGATGGAGGAGCCTGGTAGGCTGCAGTCCATGGGGTCACGAAGAGTCAGACATGACTGAGCGACTTCACTTTCACTTTTCACTTTCATGCACTGGAGAAAGAAATGGCAACCCACTCCAGTGTCCCTGCCTGGAGAATCCCTGGGATCGCGGAGCCTGGTGGGCTGCCATCTATGGGTCGCACAGAGTCGGACACGACCGAAGTGACTTAGCAGCTGCAGTAGCAGGTAACTTCTAGAAGGACAGGGATCGAATCCCTCTTGATCACGTCCAGCATGGAGCTTCTGTGCCTTATATATGAAAAGTGAAAGTGAAAGTCGCTCAGTCATGTCCAACTCTGTGTGACCTCTATCGACTATATAGTCCATGGAATTCTCCAGGCCAGAATACTGGAGTGGGTAGCCCTTCCCTTCTCCAGGGGATCTTCCCAACCCAGGGATCAAACCCAGGTCTCCAGCATTGAAGGTAGATTCTTTACCAGCTGAGACATCAGGGAAGCCCAAGAATACTGGAGTGGGTATCTTATCCCTTCTCCAGCAGATTTTCCCGACCCAGGAATTGAACCAGGGTCTCCTGTATTGCAGGAGGATTCTTTACCAGCTAAGCTACGGTGGCTTTACATAAACATGCCCATTAAGTTTATAACGACACGAATTTAACTGGATGGGTTCAACTGAGTCTAAGCCATTATTCCTCTACGTTACTGCAAAAGAAAACCTACCTCCTTTTCTTTTGACCCTGTCTGTTGAGCAAATATGTCTCTGACATCAGGGACCTGGTACTGTTTGTTTTTCTTCCTTAAGGTCTGGGAGACTGTCTCTACTCGTTTCTGAACAGCTGCCGCCTGCGTCCGGGTCAGCGTTGATAAAAACACCATGCTCTCTTGGGGATCTCCAGCAGCCTCTCCAAAGAGATTGGATAAACCGGCCTCCTTAAGCCACTCTTCTTCCAACTCTCCCTCTGAGGAAGCAGAGAAAAAATGGCATTTAAATCACAAAATAGGAGAACTTCTACATTTTTAAAAACTGTTTTAAAAACTCTTACTGAAACTCTCGTACCATAACCCAACCACAGTGCTAAGAATCATTATCTGAAACTTGGACCACTGCCATAAACTCTAACCATAAAGATATCAAGTTTTAGATCCATTTCATATATACTCAATTAAAATTTTTAAATGACTTCACATGTGATTAACCTCTATAACTTCCCTGCAGATTAACTGGGGGAAGATAATACTGTTCCCTTTCCAGAGATGAGCAAGCAATGAAAAGATAACTTACTTCCATCAAGTTACAGAAGGAAGTCGATGCTGGGGATGGCCATTAAAGCCCTGTTTCTTGGCTTACATTCAGCACTATCCCAGAGTTCGACCCTAATTGATGGAAAGGCTTATTTTCTCTGCTCTCTGTAGCTGACAGTGTGGCAAAGAAGTAAAAAGCATCTGGACATCGGGAACTAATCAATTTCAAATTAATTTTTTAACCACCTAGTCAGCATACCAGAGTCCTGCTTTTCTTTCTTTACAATTTTTTTTTTAAAAAGCAAACTATTTTCAGGGAAAAAAAAAAAGTAGATTATAGGAAACTAATTAAACAACTGAATCAATTTAAAACACTGAAAGGGAGTAACCAGTACAGCAAATATCGTGTAAGATCTATTGGCAATTCAAGACTTCCCTGATGGTCTAGGCTCCTACTGCAGAGGGCGAGGGTTCTGTCCCTGCTCAGGGGACTAAGATCCCACTTGCTGTGAGGCATGACCAAAAAAAAATTTATTGATGACTGTAGAAAAACTGAAGGACAACTAGAATGGATTTACTCCAAGTTCCATATATAGAGAGGACATCGAAAAACCAAGGACTTGGGACACAAAAGGTCTGTTCATACTCCATTCCTGCACCTTGATGGCCACGGCACTTTGGTCAAGTCACTTAGCCTCAAGCCGACTCTGTTTTCTCACCTGTAAACTAAAGCACAGCTGCCCTGGTTGCTTCACAACCAAATGTGAGCATGTCACATGGAGAGAACTCTGCAGAGCTCCATTATCGCCCGCAGCACATAATGGAGCACTGACCAGCTTCTCTACTATCGAGACTCCATGAGGGCAGAAATCAAGTATCAATAATCTTGGCGTCAAGAAACATAAGGCAGTGCAGGGCATTCTGCCCGCCAGGCAACAAAAACTGTTCACTGACATAAAAACTCACCATGATTATTAAAGATATAAAAGTAGAACTCAGTATAAATAAATGGTCAGAAAAGGCTGATACTGCCATAAGGGAAGTAAACAAGATTACAATACAGAGTGGCTTGTTCCATTAAAAAGTAGAGGTAAAATTCAATTTAAAGTCAACGAAAAGGCATGGGTGTGTATAAACACTCCCAATTCTTGATAATCACATCATGAACAACATGTTATGAATCCACGTTATCCCGTAGCTGACACATGGCTATGTATCAGGATTGAGGGCTTCTTTCCACAGAATGTTTTCTCCTTACTAATCAGGCCACTGGTATGCTGCTGCCATCTTGAAACACTGATCAGAAAGGTTGAAAGATACTATTATTACAAATAAGCTTAACTGGATTGGTAAAGTGAGAGAGAATGAGAGTAAAATGAAAGAGAACCCAAATGAAAGAATGAGCTGGCTATCATTTTCTTTTACAAAATCAATGGGTTAAACTAAGGAAAATCTCCGACTTTCCTCTTTCAAGTATTAATGGTTGCTTTTTTTTCCTCCAAGCAATGTTATAGCAAAGGAGAAAAACCTATGCAGATTTTAGTACTAAACAACTTGATGCTAAGTTATTTAGCATCCTTAATAAGTCTTCTGTTGAAAAACAGGTCACTGCTAGCTGTGGGTCCCAAGGTACTGACCGTGGCTCTTTTTTGGAATCTGTATCAGCCTGTACACCAAAGATACACTTACAAACTTATGGTCGGCACAAGGCATGGAAAGAAAGCTAATATAATAGGTACCAGAGTTAGACATGATAAACCTAGTGTCTACTTGAATTTAATGTTGATTTTTTTTTTTTAAAAAAAGCATGAAATTTAAGAGGGGGGAAGAAAAAGTAAATTTTTCCATGCTTCTTCCAGAATATCAAGTACAATAGTGGAGACTGTGGGAAATGCAGATAGAGATGACAGCAATTACGAACGAAATATGAGAAGTAAATAGGGAGGCTAAAAATGCTAATACCATCTTCCACTTTCACTGTCGAAATCTCTACCCTAAGCTTAGCTGGCTAAACTGTGGCACTGTTGCCAGTCTAGAAGACAACAGTTTGAAAGATAAGATGACCAAGACTAGGATAGATTTGCAATCCACCACCAAGGACTGATTTATGTAAATCTTTTTCCTTCTAGAAAAAAGTTATTTGTCTAGTAACAAGATAACTATAACCATCCTCAATCATTTGAAAAGCTGTCATGCAAACAACAGAGCAGATTTGTTCTGCTCTTCCAAAAGGTAGATTGACAATAAATGAGTCAAAGGTAGTGTGGAACAGATTGTAAATCAATAAAATAAAGAATATCAAAACAGCTCAAGCTGACTGAACAATGGAAAAACATCAACATCATCAGCATCTCTACTCACTTGAGGCCAAACAACCGTGGGGCTAGGATTCCACAAATGGAATTTAAAGAGACGTTAGATGATTTCAAAGATCAAGTCCAGCCCTAAGAGTCAATGATACAGTAAGCTTAGCCAATAAGAGTCTAGCCATATCCAAAACTCAGTGAATTTACTTATATCATTTATATTTGGCAGCTGCCATCTATAATCTGCCACAATTAAGTCATTTTTAAGTTGAAAGGCAACTACCATTTTTTTTTCTGGTTTTCCTCATTTTAATTTCTTTCTTCCTATGTATTCATTTCCCATCAACACATACAAAATAAACTAAGAAAAAGTTTTATTAATTTCATTATTACCATCAGGCTCTTTGACAACCACCACCTCTTGATCATCTTGTCTGTTCTCATGAGATTTCTTGATATTTTCTATTTCAGTCCAATAAGCTTCCATACAGAGTTCATCCAAGGAATCCTGGGAACCTGATCGATCAAATGGAGGTCTTTCTGTGACTTTGGTGACTTCCTGGTTCATAGTATACTGGCCATATCTTCTACTGTAAAGTCAAAAGAAAACATGGTTCATTTTAGTACATGAGGAAGCAGTACTGTTTCTACAATATCATAATACTAAGCTGGATAAATTGGAAACTCAAGTTCTCCTTAACAAAACCAAAGAGATGTTTGCTTTGAAATTGTTTACCTTGAGAGGCTACTGATTATAAACATGCCTGTAGAATGAAAAGTTTTATTCTCTACAGAAAACTTTGGCAATGAACAAACAGCAATGTGATAAATATTTTTCCATTTCCCTTTCACTTAAATTATTTTAAGGCTCTTTTAAACCTAAAAATTTGTTCTTAGAAAGCAACAGGCTAAATCTTGATTAAAGGTTAATAAAATTGGGATTGAATTTACACTGTATTTCATATTTATCATTGATAATTATAAATCAAACTCAGTCAACCTTTAGACAGCAAATATCTGCAAACAATGAATGAGGTACTGTTTGAATTTTCCTTTTATTTTTTGGAACCAAAACAAAAAAAGGATAGTATATTAAGTTAACTGTTACACCCTATTTTAGAAAGCAACATTTAATCTTTACACTTATAAATGTATCTATTACTTACATATATTTTAAAAAGTGGTAAAATGCACTTACTGGCAATTCTGAATGAGTTGAGAATTACCTCTTAAACATTTAGCTTATAATCTATGAAAAAAGGATATGTGAATATGGTGGTTTTTTAATAACTTCAACTATATTTTTTCTTTATAAATCATATCCTACCTACTATCAAAATTGAATTAAAAGGCCTAAAAATAAAAACCCATATAGAAGAGAAATACTACTGAATTGTTTCATGATTGTTTATATTGAGATAGAAGAGGAAAAGCCTTATTACTTGAAGGGGGAAATTTTTCAGCTATGTTTTTCCCCTTTATATTCAATAAGTTTTTAGAAATATAATTTGAGTAGAGATAGTAATTGGTGAACAAGCATTTTGTTATTCTAATTTCAAATCACTTTTTTAATCTCCCAAGAGGACATTAGGAAGTGATACATTCTTTCTAGACTGGCTTTACTAACTGCACATACAGAAAATAAAAAGAAATGCAATAAAATGAAATTCTTTAATAGTGCGTGAATATTTTCACATTGAAACTGGCCTCTCCCATAACTATTTAAAATAGTAGGATTTAATATGGCATAAGGAAGAAGGTCACTAAACTCTAGTGCAATCTACCCAGTAGTTTAATTCCAACTGACTTCTCAGAAAAAGTCAAAGAAGTTAATTACTTATTGCTGCAAATAAATGCAATATAACTGACTTAACTGTAATACGCTAATTGGCCAGTTTTAGCCCTGTAAAAATGGTTCTCCCTGCCTTGATTACACATTTTATTACTGGAACAATTTCCATCATCTCGCCCCAGTAGCAGTCCCGAGGTGGTGGGGGGGGAGGGGGCGGTGTTAGATGAGGGCCAACAGGAGGAAATCTAGACGTGTTTGTGTGAATCTCTTTCCTCCAGCCTCCATTGTGCATTGTTTGCCTCCCCATTCCTTAATTCAGAGACACTTCCTCCCTCCCTGCCCCAACTCCTGTTTACATCCTTATATCCCACTCTGGTCCCTTCTCTCACCCTGTGGCCATGATACCATCAGCCTTCTCCATTTAGGGTTTACACTTCTGATTCTTAAATTAAAATGAAAATGAAAATGCTCTCTTTCTCTTAGAAATGAAAAGTAAACAATATTTCTTATATCTGTGATCACCAGCTCAACTGATCTTTGGTTCATAATCCTTAATCCTGCTTTATCAGGACTAGCTCAAACTAATTTTATAGAGTATCTGCCAAATTCACTTTTGATTTCATGTCAGATATATGGATGCCCTTCCTTGCTTTTGTTTTACCTCTCATTTTAAGATTGTCTACTATATTCCTATTTTCTACAACCTTAGCCCCATGATGAGAACTGCGGAATGTATGAAGTATAATGACTAATGCCAAATAATGTGTTTTATCTGCTCACAGGAAAGAGGTGCCGTTGAACGAAAAGTACATTAAGCCTTTCGCTCCTGAAGGAATGTGTTTATTCTGGCAAGAATTTTCCAGTAAATTTCCATTAAGATAGCATGTGCAGAAAAATGCAAGGGCATTGAGCAATAGCACTGTTACGTAAATAAACCTTCTATATCAAGGCCCGCTTTCAAAACATGCATAAAGCAAAAATCTAATCATTTAGTGCTGGTGAACCAACTCAATATTTTGACTCTGCTAAGATTCAAAAGCTGAAAAGGTTTGTTGTAATAACCTGAAGATACTGAGTCATGGAAAGGGAAGATTTTTTTTTTTTTTGGAACACTGGCAAATTTTGCAAGAAAATAATTTCTTTTTTAAATATTAGGGGATGAAGTATAGGAAGGAAGCAAGCATCCTGTGAGAGTCCCCTCCTTAATCAGCTGCTGAATATTTTATATGTTTTCTAAAAATGTGACTGAACATTCTTTATTTACAGTTTACATCAATAAACATGTCATGTCACTGGTTTTCTTCTTAGATTATTCTCACTTTTGTAGTTCAGACAGGCCACAGCTAAAAGCCTGTCCCTTCTTAAAACTGTCCTGGTAACAGGCCAGTTAACTGGTTTCCTCTCTTCTGTTTTTAGGAGTATGCTTTTACGACACCATGTTCATTCTGCAAATTGAACTCAAACACATAAAAGCAACATCTGCTAGACATAATGAAGTATGGAGCAGAGATATTCTGTATTTCCAAAAGATCCCAACCAACACATGGTGCTCAAATCAGAGAAACACACAGTTTGCCCCACCACAGGCAACTACCAATTATCTCCACCTGACCCACTGCCAATGCTAATTCTCTTTTCATCCTTCTCACTCCCACCCAGAATCCCATGTGCTAAATATCCCATGAACACTCTTCTCCAACTCCCCCACTTCTCATCTTTTTTCAACTAGAACTACAGAACTAGACACTCCTCTAAAAGAAGCTGCTTCTTAGCCTGCTGGACAAGGCATTACATTACAGTATTATCACTTGGGCTCTTTTTCCCTGGGCACTAACATACCAGCAAATGCTCAACTTTACAGGCCCCCGCTGTCCCCGGGCCTTCATGGTGTATTATCCTCTTGCAGCATGTCCTCATGCTGTGTTGATAAAAAATTGGGGAGCTGTTTAGTTGTATTTTCCCCAGGTGTATTATCTCTCATTTTTCTGTAATTTCTTTTTTTTTTCCTAAATGGTGAGTGAATTTCAAATGTACTGACATCATTCAGGGTATTAGCGATAACTGTTACTTATTTTGTCATAGAAATCTTAAACTGACCTGACAGAAGTTGTCCTCCAAAAGGAGGCAGACTTTACCATGCACTTCACTGTGGTCCACTAGAAGAACACTCAGGATTCATCCTAGCACCACTGCAGTCAGTGAAATGATGGGGAAACATACAGGACTGGGAGTCCTAAGCACTAAATGATTCCAGCTTTACTTAACTTTCTTTCATGATCCCTGGAGGAAATCACTCCTCTGAATCTAACTTGCTGCTATCTATAAAATGGAAAGAATGCCAATAGCCTTGACGACTTCGTTGTAAGTCATCAAATAAGAGCTTCCCTGGTGTCTCAGCAGTAAAGAATCCTCCTGCCAATGCAGGTGATGTGGGTTCGCTTCCTGGGTGGGAAAGATCCCCTGGAGAAGGAAATGGCAACCCACTCCAGCTTTCCTGCCTGGAAAATCCCATGGACAGAGGAGCGTGGCAGGCTACAGTCCATGGGGTCACAAATGCATTGGATACGACCTAGCAACTAAACAAAACAACATCAAATAAGAATTCCTACTGAGGAACGACCTTAGAGGTAACCAAGGAGAAGGCACTCAAGTGAGTATCATTGCTAACTTCTGTGTAACTGCTAATTACAGATAACTGCCTCTCCCACAGTTTAATAAAGTCACCTTTGCCCTCTTCTAAGGGTCAGAGAAATTGCTTATCCTCTAAGGACAGTCATTCTTAAACCTTTGGCCTCAGGACTCCTTTACACACTTCCTAATTTTCAAGGGTTTCCAAAGAGTTTTTGAGATAGATTATATTCATTGATATGTACATTATTAGATCTTAAAACTGAAAAAAAACTTTAAATACTAATTCATTTAATAAGAAGAAATAATCTTATATTTAAGATGTTATTTAAGAAGACATCATAAATAACATTGGGGGGAGAGGAGGTGAGAAGCCCTATATTAACAAAAAAAATAGATAAGTAGCACTGTTTTACATTTTTGAAACTGTTTTTAAGGTTTAGTTTAATAGAAGACATATGGATTCTCCCATCTCCCTCTGCATTTACTCTTTTGCGATATTCTAAGTCATGTAGTTTCTGGGAAACACCACAGTATTCTCAGGAAAACATCAGAATGAATAAGGCCAGTTAACAGCGAGGGTTATTATGAAAACAGTGCTGATCTCCTAGACCCTTTGAAGGGTCTCAAGAGCCTCAGGGGTTCCATGGCCACACTTTGAAAACCACTGCTCCAGGATTTCTCAAAAACACCTAATGGATCTGAGAAAGCACTTTTCAATCCTGTGGGCAATGTTCCAGAAAGCCCTACTGAAAGAAACTGACATGCTTTCCTAGTGACTTTTGACCTACTTCTTTGTTTATTTTAGTTTAGTTTTACGGCCTTTCATCAAAACTGGGACTTACTCCAATGATATATCCATATTTAATTCATACTACAATGACAAAGAATAAAAGCATATTTAAAAACCCCTTCCTCGCCAATGTCTTCCATCATCCACTTTTATCCATCATGCACAATGGGCAGAAATTCTAAGCTTTCTTTTTGGCCAGTGTATTTGAAAATAGGTATTTTCTTTAACGCTCCTTTGCCATCTGTACCTCTTCCTATAATCATCTCAAGGTATTTATTTAGAACTAGGACACTTCTTTGCACTCATTTAACTACATGATCCAATCTCCACTTCGTGCACTCCACCCCATCAACAGTCATACTGCTAAAGTCATATCC